TTATTAATGCTAATCCTTGTAGTTCTAAATTTCAACTCATGAGTATATGATACTAAATGTGGTGCTTACATTTTTGAAATGTATAGAAGCTTAGAAAAGAAATGAAGATAGCTTCAAGGGAGAATATCTACATAATCACAATGATAAAAGAGTTGGACCATTAGATATAGGTATTTATGAGCTAGCACTACCATGTTGGGATGTGCTATGACTCAATCATTATTATTTTAGTAGAGACTAAAGATGTTATTTTCATTTCTTATTTTGAATAAGTGTTTCATTTTTAAGAATAATAGTTATTTTTAAGAATGATTTTTTATGAAAATATTTTGAGAATGATTATATGTGTTAAACATAACTCCCAAATGTATAACATAAATACTAGAAGACTCAATTAATCTGAATAAACATTAATTAGTAAGTAACATCAAATTTATTCATATAAGCAAGAATCTCATATCCAACCTACTTATACAAAAGGATATTTAGCATCATTAGATGATGTCCAAGGAATCTTGTTTACTTGAAAAAAAGACATGTATCCTTTTTTAGTTTAAAAGGAGAAAGAGTTACTAATCAAAATAGTTCTTATATATAGAGATGTATATGGGCTTATGTTCACCTAAGTAACAGGAGAACATGCTTGTCACATAACTATTAATGATAGTGGACCATGTTATGGTTATAAGACATAAGTCCAAAACATTTAAAATGTTTAAAAGTTTAGACTTGAAAAGTCATGAGATGAACTAGCAAGAGTTTTAAAGCATCTCGATTAGATCGTGGAGCCAAATACTTAAATACTAAAATGTTAGATCACTTAAAAGAGAATGAGATTCTCTATGGACATCACATATTAGACATGATCAGTTCATGATGAGTCGAATTAATATTCCTAATTATGAATGAATACTCCTTATTACAACCTTTGAAATGAATAGGATTTAAATCTATTCAAGATAGATCACATATGAGATATAGGAAAGGAAGGAAAATGAACATATGAGATATAGGAAAGGAAGGAAAATGAATTAATCTTCCCTTAAAAATTTAAGGCTATAAAATGTACATTAAAGGGTTTGACAAGGAAAAAATGAAGCCTAAAATCAATAAAGTGTTAGATTGTGAGATACCTAAAGTAAGATTAAGATGTAAATATCTTACCACTAGAACAAAATGTTGTTCTTACTAAGCACATTATGTTCCACGGGAAAGAATTTATAGATGTTAGAAACGAGTGAGAGGAAATTTAAACTCAATAAGATTTTGAGTAACTCACAAATTAACACTTTCATAAAGGAATCCTAAAATAGGATGATTACAAAGAGTTGTAACTCTCTCACAAACAAAAACACAAGAATTTCAAAAGTTCAAAGCAAATTCATAAAAAAGACAAAGGAGAAATGATCTTTTCGTCTTAACACAATGTTAGCCATTGATTCATATAAAAGGAAAATAAAAGGGATGTGTAGTTGACATACCCTAAAAGTTTCTAAAAACATACAAATAAGATTTACAAAAGGCTAAGGTCCATTAATAGACGTAAGTATGCCTCTAGAAATATAAATTCATGTTTTATTGAATGATTAAAGAGTTTGATTATTCATCAAAATAAAGATAAACCTTGTGTATATAAGAAGCCAGTGAGAGCCTACTAAGTCATGGTTATTTGACATAAAATCACACCTTGACTATATTGTTGCAAATAAAAGATTAAGGAATCTAGAAGAAATTTCCCAAAGATGGCATGTGAGAGAAACCTATAATCTAAGAGTATAGATCTATAGAGATAGATCACTTAGAATGTGAGGAGTCTCCTAAGGTAGTTATAATGACATGATACTAAAAGGTGTCAGTATGGAACAATGAAAGAAGGTTTTGTTCTAATGTCATATAGCTTAATAACTAACAACAAAGGATTCATAGCACAAGCTTAGGAACCAAGGTCTCATCAATAATCGAAGCAAGTACTATAATGCTATTACTTGATTATAGAAATAAAAGGATCATGGTAGCATAAGGATAGAAAAGAACCACACTATGATAACATAGTTGACCTCATAGTAAGCCCTTATCATAGCCAAAGCATCCGACCTTTACTCGATTGTTGAGACTAAGGGACATGGGTAGTTAGCTCTAGTGCAAGTGGAAGATTGTTAGGTTAGTGCCTAAGATCCAACCATGTTTGGATGGGCCCAATTTAATGTCTTATTCCATCATTTAATAAAGAATTCATTCCATTAACTCTTATTTTTATATGTTGATAAATTCATTAGAGTTAGATAGAAGTCCTTATGATATTCATTTGTAATAGTGATTGATCGAAAGATGTGAGACAAATACTAATGCACATAAATAATATCATTAAATATCCCAAGTCATGAAAATATTGAGAATGGGTATAGATAATATACGAGATAGACTTATGAGTGCTATGCTTATACTATATGATAGCGAGTAGGAGATCTCACACCTATTAGTATGGTAATGCCAAAGTAAGAGCTTAGGTGATTTATGTTAGAGAATATATCACTAGACTTAACTCGCCATGAGAACCCATTAGGTTTAGTTTATGAGAATCTCATATGAAATGGGTACAAATGGTCCTTAAACTTAAAGTCATCATGGTAATCTCATTGGAGGACTTATGCACTTTGATACTCATTTCAATGGACCCATTAATGGATTGCACGTGGGTGATTCTTTGGGTGCACTAGGAATCCAATGGAGATAGGTGTATGACTAAGGTAGGACATGTCATTTCTTGTATGCTCGAAAGAGTTATCACATTGTATTTCGATAAATGTCTACTTAAGAAATCTATGGCCACGGTAGGAGTACACCAATAGAGCATAGTTGGTTTACTTTAAGAGCCAAGACATTTGGGAATCGAACAAAACTTGTGTGATCATAATCAAACAATACTAATAACCAAGTTTACGATCACACTTGTGATAAGTTGACATGATGGCTGAATTGTATGGTAATCATGCTCGTGAAAGGTAATAATGGATTAACTAATCCTCCTAAAGAATTAAGTAGTTGTGATGCCTCGCTAGAGGTCAATTTTGATTTATGTATCGAGAGATTAAAGAGAAGTCTTTTATTCTCAATACGTTGATAACATATCTAAGAGCCTATTGAGTCACATGCATAAGTTTAAGTATTCACATTATAAATGAGAAGTAAAGTTATTGAAAAAAGTATTCAATTATAAAAGTTTTCTATTTTTGAAAGAGTTTCCAACATGGAAAGTTTTCAAAATGAAAAATTTTCTATTTTAGAAATCGGTTTCCTAATTTGGAAGTTAGTTTCAAATTCAAAACTAAAGAACCTAAAGGGAAAAGAGTTTCCTAATTTAGGTTAAAGGATAGTCCAAATAAATTAATTGGGTTAAAATATTTTTAGCCCATTAGATTTAATTAAAAAGCTTAAAGATAATTTCGATGGGAGGATAAACATTAACCTTATTAGATAAGTTTTGTTGATAAAGCCTTAATAGAGGCTAATCTTTATTTATGTATCAAAAAATAAAATAGACGTCTTTTATTCTTGATATATAGTTAATATATCTAGGGGTCTATTGAGTCATACTCATAAGTTTAAACATTCACACAATAAAAGAGAAGTAAAGATTTTGAAAAAAAGTTTTCTATTTCGAAAAGTTTCTTGCTTTCGAAAAAGTTTTATAAAATGAAAAGTTTCTAATTTTTCATTTTAGAAATTAGTTTCTTAATTTGGAAGTCAGTATCAAATTTAGAACTTAGTTACTTAAAAGGAAAATTAGTTTCCTAATTTAGATTTAAGGGTAATTTGAAAATTGTTTCCTAATATGGGTTTCCTAAAATTAGCTAACCCGAGTTTATTTGGATAGTCTAAATTAATTAATAGTTAATTGGTCTAAATGATTTTGAGGCAATAAGCTTAATTTAAAAACCTATAAGATATTTTGATTAGAGGATAAACTTGATCCCTATTGGATAAGGTTAAGGATTTACAAGGATAAGGTAAGTCAAAAGCCACATAAGTAACATCTCCTTGACCAACTAAGAGATTTTGTCACCTTCCGTATAACTAGAGGTGAGAGAGGCAGCACTAACACACTAGAAAATAAAAGGAAAAACTTGATCACTACAACAAATTTTAAATTTAGCTACGAAAATATTCTTCTCTAAATAATTGAAATTCATCGACAAAAATATTTTGAGACGCGAGTTAAATCATCCCAAAAGCCGCGTAGCTAATTATATTTACGGATGCAAAGTAAAAATCGTACCTAAAGGATAATCATTACGGATGAATTTGATTTTCTTCCATGAATCTTGACCATTTACGAACAATTATTTTTTTCTTAGAATATATCTATTTTCGTCCGTAATTAGTCCATTCAATCGACAATTGTGAAAATTTTGAGTGGAGGGTAAACATTTTTATTGACGATAAAAATTCTTTGTCAAATGTAACTATAAAATGGTGATGAAACATTTTGTCCGCAATGAATTATTTTTTTAAACAAAAAATTTCATCCCTAATTGCTTATAATATTTTTAGATGATAAATTTCAACCGTGATTGCTTTTAGTTTGGGATGATAAATTTCATCATTGATTGCTTGCATTTTTTTTAGTGAACCTGATTGCTTTTATTTTGGAATGGTAAATTACATTCCTAATTGTTTGTATTTTATGATGATATATTCTATTCTTAATTGCCTTTATTTTCTGAACAATAAATTTTTCCATGATTACTTTTATTTCGTCACCAAAAAATATTATCAGCCTTACATTTCATCTCTAATATTATTTGTATCCGTAATAAATCAAATAAATAAACAAAATCATTGATACAAACTAATATACTATTACATTAAATGAAATTCCATAACATTGTCTAATCAATATGTAACATAGGCTATTAATATAACCTCTAAGAAAAAGTTCAAAATGGAATGAAGCTATTCTAATAAATAGATATTGTACTCCTAAAAAAACTCTCCTCTCACTAGCCTACGGTGACAGCTGTTGAAGCGGTCCCAAGATTAACACCACTAGTAGCCTTCATTGCACCAACTAATTTTGCAAATATTGCTACTCCTCCTACAAGTACAGCTCTGAAGGCAATTATTGATTTTACTACCATGTTTTTTGGGAACTGCAAAAAACATTTAACCTTAAGTACTCACCATGGTTGGAGGAAATGATGTTGGAAACTGAGTTGCATGTTGAATACTACTGTTGATCACATTGTTACTCGTCATGTTCTATCCAACTTGAGCATTACATAACATGGAGCTTTGGTTGACTAGAACCACCGGTGGTAGCTTGCATTCATAATCAGGAACAGTATTAATTTTTAGGAATAATAAGGAAAAATGAAGAATAACTTATTGCAAGCAATCGTCTAATAAAATATGCTTTAAAAATGACGTACAAAAGAAGCTCAGATTGGAATGTATCTTGTGCTTGAGAATTGAACTGATATGGTGTCTAGTTGACATCATTTTCCATTGAAAATGGTGGCATCATCACATTTTGTAGGATCATTTCCATCTGATCAAAAGATCAATCATGATTAGTAATTGTAATTTTTTCCCTATCTTTACATATATCAGTTAATGCATGTCATGCTATAAAGAGAGAGACACTAAATTCAATACATTTTGCATCTAAAAGTATATGTTCAAGTGGTCAATTAATGAACTACCTTCACTGGAGAGTATACCTGTGTTGGAATTGGTAATGTAGGATTAACCAAGGATGATCTAGTGTGCCTTGCATTTGTAGAATTCCCACCTAAAGGATCAAAAGTTGAGTATGCAGACTACACCATGCTCTGTCCAGATTTTGCTTGATTTAGATAAGGTTCATCCAATAATCCTGACTCCAATTGCTCCTGCTGTAAAAAAAAAAAAAAAGTAAACTTTTCGTTTTTAAAGAACATCTTAAAAGAAAAATCATGTATAGTTTCCAACCCATAAATTGAAAAACATTCATAGGACCATAAGCTTAGACAAGTTTATAAGCTGTCATATCTCCCAGATTCAAACAAAGATGATATCTCTTTTATTTTGATAAATCAACTTAATCATGAAATAGTATTCCTTACTGTAGTTGACTTGTCCAATAATTGTTTCTTATTATCAAATCAAGAAGTTAAAGATCTAACACACTTCCCTCAATCTACAAGTATCACCAACCAGCACTCAACAGCTCCACGGATAAGAAACTACAGATGGTTGATTCGCATATCAATCTATACAGTCTTTCTCCTTATTGGACAGTTAGTGGCTCTACTTTTGGGAAGATTGTACTTTGTTAAAGGTGGAAACAACAAATGGATGGTAACACTTGTGCAACTTGTAGGATTTCCTATTCTTATTCCCTTCTATGTCATCTCAACAATCAATAATCCCAGCACAAATGATGTCCAAATAAAATCACCATCTGTCAAAATACTTGCATTGGTTTATGTATCAATTGGACTGCTTTTAGTAGCAGAATGCTATTTATATTCAACTGAACTAAAGTACCTTATAGTGTCTACTTACACCCTCATTTGTGCATCTCAGTTGGCCTTCAATGCTTTCTTCTCCTTTTTGCTCAATCAAATTCTAGTTCTTACCTGCCTCTTTCAGCTAACCCATCACCAAAAGTTGCTCTCACTTCATCTAGTGGGCTCATCTAGTGGGCTCTTCCCTTTGTCCAACTAAAAACTAACAAAAACCTATACACCGATTAAAAGAAGGTTAGAATTATAATAATTTACATAAATTATCATGAGCAAGAATTTCATAAATTCCTATGCACGAGCAATAAGATTTCAACATAGATTTATCTAGTAGGGCATCCAGGATTACAAACCTTGCCTTGAAGATGAAAACTTACAACACTTCCATGCCTTACAATTTCAACATAGATTTAGTGGAATCTGCTTGATGGCAGATTCTGATGCCAAAAGGCATGCTTCTACTTAGAAAGCTTCTTCACCAATTTCTCTTTTTTTGTTAAGCTTCTTCAATGCTTCAACATCCATCCATTGAAAGACTACACACTCTGCTTGCCAATATAAATTAGTATTTTTATAACAAGAAAAAATCCAGACATGAAATTTGTAGAATGTATTTAATTGCCTCAGTAATACATCTCAAGAACACTTCCGAACACCATATGTTCAACTCAAAATACAACTTTTAGATAAAATCTGTGGAGAGAATAACAATGATTGCAAATGACCTGTATGATCGCAAACTAACTCTGCTAATGCAACTTTGTTAGCAATACATAGACTTTAGTTCTTCAATGGCCTGTATGATTGCAAATGCAAGAATTACCGACTCATAGCAACATGGTATCATATTTGTACAATAATGCTTACCTCTTTTAAGGATCAGAAGTCCTCAAAAGATATGAAATTTTTATATATAAGACTCAACCAAAAAAAAAAAAAAAAAAAGCAAATTTTCTAAGGGCTATCAAACTTAAGGGTAACAAAAAATTTCACGTAAATGAAGTAATGTCAAAATTTATTCATTCTATTCTTGATTGTTCTATATAGCATTAATGTGAATCTAAAAAAGGTAAATGTCCTCAAAGCACACTCATTTTTGGATATCATCTAGCTTTGATGATCAAGTGGATTCCCATTGCCATTTATTTTCAGAATTCAAAGGTTTTGCAATGTTTTATTAAAAAACCTCACTTTTAAGAAAACCGAGGAAAGAAAAAAAAAACTAGACTTTTCCACAAATTAAAAATAGAAAAAAAATGGCCATATTTAAAAACATCACAGATTCTATGAACATCTATGTGCTAAGGTGAAATTTATATCTAAGCTACATAAGTTCCTTTTTTGACACAACTAAACCCTCAGAAAATATCAGAAGGGAAATCAAATTAAGAATATTCAAAGGAAAAATCATCGCTATAGAACTAAACCTTCTTCTCAAGCTTACAATCTGCTTTAGATGCAGCATCTTGTCTGTAACCATAAAATGGAAAAAAAAAATCAAAAGAAGAGAAAACATTAATTAATCATAACAAATTTGAGAAATCAAGGAAACAAAAAGGAACCTACGAAAAATGGGAAGACTTTTATTTTTTATTTTTTTTGCATTAGCATACCTTGACTTTCCCATAACTGAAGATTCTTAGTGCCAATTGGAAGTTTGTTGAAGAAATTGTAGGCACGCTTATGAAAAGCATATAAACTCTAGGGTTTTATCAGTTTAGCTACTAAATTACAAGAGGAACAAAAGTTATAGAGAGGGAGAAGGAGAACTATAAATTATAATGCCGCTCCTAGGGTTCAACCGAAATGAATTTCAAGCAAGAGAATAAGAGAGGAGAGTGAGATCTAGGAAAGAAAAGAGCGAGAGGGAAGGAAGAATGAAGAGAAGAAGAAGAAACAGAGGGATGAACTAGTTCGTCTATGGAGATAAGGCAGAGAGAGAGAGAGGGAAGAAGAAGAGAGAAGGGAGAGGAAGAAAGAGAATGAAATCGAGAGAAAAAAGAGAAGGAGGGAGTTTGATCCAAAAAATTTTAGGAGAATTGATATTGGGTGTATTTGCCAAACGAGGGACTATGGTTAAGCCAGTCCAGCCCAAAAATTAAAATAAAAGAATTAATTAATTCATATTTAACCATTTAGGATGGCTTAATTTTGTCCCTACTTTATATTTAATCATGTGGGACGACTTGGTTTTCGTCCCTAATTGATATTTAATCATGTGCAACGATTTGGCTTTGTCTTTAAATAAGTTTAAATTTTAAGACATATAATTTCATCCCAAAATATTATAATTCATCCTAATATAATTTTTTTTCACAAGAGGTGTGCACGAAAAGTCGGGTGCGGGATGAAAAAATTGAGGTCGGTGATTTGGGGATGAAATATGTATTTCGTCAAGAAATATTCGTGTTTTAGGATGAAAATGAATTCGTAGGTAAAAATTTGGTAGCTAAATTGAAAATTTGTTGTAGTGGATAGTAAGGAAAGAAAAAAGAGAAAAAACAAATTTCTCCTAAAAGCCCGAGTTACCTTACATATCTCTTTCTAGGGTTCGTTGTAAAAAAAAATGGACTAATTTCTTTAGAGAAAACATTAACTACATAAAAGGATTAGAGTTATCACTATGTGATTTATATAGCTTCTCTTGTAGGTATTTAAGCTGCGTGGATTATCAATAGAGGCCAAAAACTTGGATGACATCTTTTCGAATAGATAGTTTCTACGCTAGAAGAGGTAAACACTTGCTTTAAATATTTTTTTATGTATGTATGATTAGTTGATTCAATGCTTTGATATTCGAAGTTGTAGATAGAGAAAAAATTTTATTTTATTCTTTACCTTTATAGGATGCATGACTTTTTCACTATATTCTATTAGTATACTTCCATTATAGCTATAGATTCTTGAGTAGCCATTGCTCGAAGTGTAATGTGATAACTCCTTTAGCATATAAGGAACGACATGTCCTATATTAGTTATCCACTTATCTCCATTAGATTCCTAATGTACTCAACGAATGTCCCATATACGGCTCCATACTAAGCCTATTAAAATGAATGTAAAAGTACACTAATCATCTAATAAGATAACTATAATGAATTCAATTAAAAAGACTACTTTTACTCATCTCATATGAGATTCCCATAAACTATACCAATCGAGGTCTCATAGGGAGTCACGTTCAATGATATGTTCTCTAACATTGTTCACCTTTGTGCTTGTTTTATTAACACTATGCTTGTAGGTGTGAGATCTCCTACTCGCTATCTTATAGCAAGAGCATAGCACTCATAAGTCTTATCGTATATTGTCAATGTCCAATCTTAATAATGCTATGACTTATATCATTGAATGATGTTGTTTATTTGCATTGATGTTTGTTTTACATCTATTGATCAATAATTAATACAATGTATATCATATAGACTTTTATCTAATTTTATCAAATTATAAATAGCAAGAATTAATGGAAAGACTTCTTTATTGATATTAAAAATGCAATGATATAATTGAACCATCCAAACAGAGTTAGCTCCGGGGTTCCTACACTAATAATCTCCTACTTGCACAAGAGCTAATAAACCATGTCCCTAATACGTGAAGTTCGAATAAAGATTTCATATTTATATTGTGACAAAGGCTTAGTCAAGGGATTTACTCTATTTTCATCGGTATGGATTTTTTGTATCTTTATGTCACTAGGACTAATAATCTCTTTAATCTAGTGGCAACGTCATATTACATGATTGGACTCGTTGATGAGACCTTAGTTGTCTAGCTAGCATTACGGCTCCATTATTGTCACAATACGACACTATAAGATCAACAATGCTTAGAATAACTTATTGTCTGGATAGAAATTTATGAATCCAAACAGACTTTCATAGCTACATCTACGGATGTAATGTATTCGGTCTCTATTGTCATGTTGATACTGTTTCGACTAAGAACCTTTCTAGCTAACAATACCATAATTCAATAGGAAAATGAATCCTAACCGTGACTCAAAGTTATCATGATCAATTTGAAAACTAGCATTTGTGATCCCTTTCACAACTAATTCATCTCCTCTATAGACTAAGAAAACATCCTTAGTTCTTCTTAAGTACTTCAAAATGCTCTTTACATCAATCTAGTATTTTTCACCTGGATTAGCTTGATATTATAAATGGTCAAAGCATATGAGACATCAAGTCACATACATAACCCGGCATAAATTATAAATCTTATGGCCGATGCATAGGAAATATGATTCATCCTTTCCATTTCACTTTGTGTTTTACGATACTAAGGCTTATAGAGTTTTATGCCATGTGACATTAGAAGAAGTCCTCTATTTGATTCTTTCATAATAAACTATTTTAGTATTTTGTTGATGTACACACTTTAGGAGAGTCCTTGTACTTTACGTGAACTATCTCTATAGATCTTGATTTCTAGAATGTACGCTACCTCTCCGATGTCTTTCATGGAGAAATTCTTGGATAGCTAATCCGTTGTAGATTAGAAAATTGTAATGTTATTATCAATAAGTAGTATGCCATTTACATATAGAACAATAAAGACTACCGAGCTCCCACTAACCTTTTTATATACACAAGGTTTATCTTCATTTTGTGAAAGGTCAAACTTTTTTATTGTTTGATCAAAACATTGATGCTAACACCTAGATGCTTGCTTAAGTCCATAAATTAATCTTTTTAACTTATAAATCTTATTTGCATGTCATTTAGGGATAAAACCATCAAGTTATGTCATGTATACATCCTCATTCAAATTTCCATTAAGGAAAGTAGTTTTGAAATGCATTTGTCATATCTCATAATCATGATATGTTGCAATTGCAAGCATAATCCTAATGGATTTGACCATAGCTACTAGTGAAAAGGTCTCATCATAATCAATCCTTTGTTTTTTATGATAATCTTTTATCACTAGTCTAGCTTTACACATATATACATTTCCTTCCATGTTAGTCTCTTGCTTAAGGGCCCATTTACACCAAATAGGTCCGACACCTTTAGGTGGATCAACTAAAGTCCATACTTGGTTAATGTACATGAATTCCATTTTAGATTCCATGGCTTGAAGCTATTTCTTAAAGTCAAAATCTAACATTACTTCTTTATATGTATTAGGTTTGTCATCCTCTATAGGAGACATATTACCATGTGTAAAGCTAAAAAGACCATATCTTTCTTGTTCTTGACAAATATGTTTAGACTTACAAGGTTCTTATGTATCTATTTAAGGGATAATTATAACACTTTGTAATCTATCGATATGAGGTTCCACAAATGGAGTATGAATTTATGAGTCTCGCTTAAATCTCATCGAGTTTAACTTTTCTCTTATCGGTTCTAGCATCTATAAATTTCTTCTCAAGAAATACAACATGCCTAGCCTCGAACACCTTTTGTTTTTGTGATTGGTAAAAGTAATATCCATTTTCTTTTCTTTTGAATATCTTATAAATTTATATTTTGTTGATTTTGGCTCTAGCTTGTCTTCGTCTAAATGTTTGACATATGCTTCATTACCCCAAATCTTAAGGAAAGATAAATTTTCTTTCTTCTTTTTTCTATCTCATTTGGAGTCCGATCAATATACTTAATCAAAACTCTATTCAAAATAAATGTTGTAGTGAGGAGTGTATGTCTATAAAATGAGATAGGGATATTAGTAACACTCATCATGGATTGACCACGTCTAATAATGTTCTATTCCTTTTTTCAAACACACCATTAATTTATGGTATGTTATATAGATCTAGCGAATGAATATCTCATACTCTTTTAGGTGATTTAAAAATTCATTGCTTAAGTATTCACTACCTCGATCGGATCAAAGTGCCTTAATACTTTTGCTAGTTGGCTTTTTGACTTCAAATCTACATTCTTAGAACTTTTCAAATGCTTAAGATTTGTCTCTCATGAGATGCATAAAACCAAAACATGAACTATCACTAGTAAAGGTTATGAAGTAATCTTGTCCTCTTATTGCTTAGGTAAAAATAGGCTCATATACATTACTATGTACAAGGCATAACAAGTTAGTAGCCCTTTATCTTTTTCTATCAAAAAGGAATTTTGTCATTTTACCAAGCAAATAAGATTCATAAATATCATAAGATTCATAATCAAATAATTTTAGATATCCATTTTTATGTATTTTGAATATTTAATTCTCATTTATATGGTCAAGTCGACAATGTCATAGATATGTTTTATTTAGATAATTTGATTTGAGGCATTTATCTTATTTATGGGTGTTTCAATGTTCAAAAGATACAAACCATCATTAATTAAAGCATTTCTATATAAAAATTTATCTTTATAAAAAGAAAAAATATTATTCTTAAATAAAAATGAAAAACTATCTCTATCAAAATAAGAAATGAAAATAATATTCCTAGTTATAATAGTAATAAAATAATAGTTTCTAAGTCTAAGCATAAGCCTATAAGGTAGTGCTAACTTATAGGTGCCTACATCTAATGGTACAACATGTAGGTTAATCTCTTTAAAAATAATCTTCCTTGATTCTCTAAGCTCTAGCACATTTGTATAAATGTGAACGTCACATCTAGTATTGAATATCCATGAGGTGAGATTAGAAGTAGATAAA